GAATCATTTTGTAGATGCCCACGATGTTACCCAAGTTAAAGAATTATTTTCTCTTAACAAAGATCATTTATTATTACGCCAAGTACCAAAAATAATATGAAGGGTGGGACCGGGGGAATATGGTTCCCGTAGGTTTTGTACATTACGAATTTTAATTCGGTACTAAATTTTGGAAGATTTTGGATTTACAACTAATTAATGTAAGAAATCATTAAAGAAAAACATATATGTAAGTGTTGATTCAGACGAGAAGAAGTGAAAAACAGTACAAGTGTTGAGAGAATGGAGTGGATATAGAACACGTCGTAATGAAATGATGCCTTTTCGTGTATCAACCATGCACCTAACATTTTTTTTTTGTAACCAACCCCTACAACACTTTCTCTCTTCAATTCGAATTTTCACATTTTTGTCTTTACGTCAAATTAAAAACTTATTCGAGAACATGCGCATAAGTTTGCAACAATGTGGAAGTATTCGATTTTAGTTTTATCTTTCTTTTATCACAGATAGATTTTAGAGATTATTGAAATGGTAAGATTACAAGTTTCATCGATGTTTATACATTTGGTATAACACACCACCTAACACAAATATACATTTTCACAATTTAGTATATATGCATTAATTCACGTGGCTCATGCACAGTCACAAATTAAGCACAAGAATCTAGTGCATGACTCTTGCTAAAACAACGCTATCTTTCTTTCTTTTTTTTTCTTTTTTTTTGTAACTTAAAACAACGATATCTTGTACTGCATGAACCTTACAACCACATTTTGAGTCATCACCTCGAGCAAAAAAAATACGGACACTGGACCACAATCAAGTTGCGCAAGCTATTCTTGCATTGAACAGTAGAGTTACGCTTGATCTAGGATTTGTACAGGATCATAGGTAAAGAATATTCGAATTCATAGCATCACAGACCATCTTAAAGCACCACCATCGATTCAGTCTCTTAATTTAACAATACAACTAAAATTGAAATATTAAACCATTAAACAAATACAATAATGACATTTAGCTTTTAAGGTGAAAACTGTTTCTTAGAACATTTGCAGTTGTAGATTCTCATAAGAAGTTCTACGCATTAAAAAAAAAGTAATTAAAAGTGAAGAGAAAGAGAGTGAGGAGAGATTCTCATCTTAGAACTTTTGAAAAACTTATTGAGAAACCTATATTATATCTGTCATATTTTCAAATTTCATTTTTTAAATTTAAATTTAATTATTAAATCTAATTACATTAAAATAATAATTTTTTTTTGAAAACTCCAAAGAAATTCCCATGGATGCAGATAATTTTATGCTCTCTTTTTTTTTTGAACTTTAATGATCTCTTTTCTAAAAGACGTTTTTATCATTATTTTTATTATTAATTTATATCTTTTTAATTGTTAGATACGGTGTTGAAAAGTGAACCCATGAAAAAGCTCTTAGCCCATGCAAATGTAAAGACCGGTATCTTTTGTTATTATTAAGATGAAGCATCGCGTGAAATCAACCCATACTGTCATATAAAGGAACTTCTCATAACTCATATTTTATAGACATAGTCTTACCGAATCTTCTTCAATTTCCTATAATAATTTTTTTTTCAGGTATTACTTATTCGTTTTTACCCACGAGACAAAGGCATGACGTTCTCAAATCCACGCTTCTTCTGATTCTAACTATGTCCTTACGAAACCCACCCTCGCCCAATGCTCATCTATGTAGATTAATGCATTTTTGGCTCCCTTGAGTTTCTCATTCGGAGGATTCACAGGTTTCTTACTACAAAAAAAAATCACCATTATTACAAATTTTTGTGTTACAATATATAAATTTTCTGTCACAAAATTCATATTCTAATAATAATGTCACAAATTTTTAAAAATCATAATAAAAACGTCATAACTCTATTTTAGTGTCAAAAATCTATTTTAGTGTCAAAAACGTCGCAAAATGGTGTAACGATTACCAATGGTAACAATTTGTTAACAAAAAATCGGACAGCTTGTGATCGTCAGTCCTCTGAATCGTTGTGACAAATGCAAGTTCTATATAGAGGCGAATCCAGTCACATTCTTTCAAATCTGATTCCTGCACCACGTGAAACCTGTTTGTACTAGCCAAAACATCATTAGAGGGCCATTCAGGCGCAGTATAACCGAGAAACTGAGGTGCGGTTTCATCATCCCAAAGCGTACACTTGGTCTCTTTACTTTTAGGTCTTAGCAACGTACGTAACACTTGAGATCAAACACATTAAATGTTATAAAATACGCGGAAGGAGTTGGTTGAAAGTATCTATTGTATATCTTTATGTGATGAAGCTGGAGGTTTGTCTACTGCAGCATATTGTATCGATGAATCCCCATCTTAGCATAAAGTTTGAGAAAAACGGTATTTTAAACTATGAATCCATCCCTGAAACTATAATTTTCTAAACTCGTAATTAATATCATATGCAGGTTTTATTCCAATCTTCATATTGTCATCAATTAGAACATTTATTGTTCGAGTATTTTTTTTTTTTTTTTATCGCCACTCGCCAAAATGTCATATGCATGAAGGGACCCGTCTTTGGAGTACAAACTCACTGGTACGTACCATTATTGAAGCCAGTACTATTTTCCTTCATGACGGCCGTTGTCAACCCGAAAAAGTTATCAAATTTTAGTTTTTGTGGTTTTGATGCCATGATAAAGAATGTTGGAGGATGAAAAAAGAACTGCTTGATAATTAATGTTATATACGAATACAAGATGAACATACTTCGATTTAAATTATCGATAGATACATTAATGTAGGAAGATATGCGTTATACATATCGCAATCATTATATTAGTTACTGTTCAATCCCACGTACATATTGTTTTTTTCTTGTAACAAAATGTTGGAGGACTTCATCTGCTTATCTTCACTTTTTTTACGACAAAACAATAGTAAGCAATTGGACCAAAAAAAAAAAAAAAAAAAAAAAAAATAGTAGAGTCAAAGTGCATCTTCAGAGTTTAATTGCTAATGGAAAGACTTATATAGAAGAGTCAAAAGTCACTATAATCGACAGAATTTGTGTGCATAAAATAAAACACGTAGCTACGTATGTACATAAACTATTTCTTTTTAATTCGTTATATATATAGAAGCATATACAACAACAAAGATGAAGAACAGTTAAAAATCACGATCCATTATAAACACACACACGTCTCTTCAACTTCACAAACCATTCATATGGATGGTCTAATATCTAACAAAGCATAATTTTTTCAAAGATACTATTAATCTATTAGGCGGCAATCAAGCTACTTGATGATAAAAAGATGAAAACAATTTAAATAATTAAAAGTTAGGTTTGTCTACCAATAAGAGTGGCTTTGGACAATAAAGATAGGACGTACGTGCACGTGTGAACCGAAGAAACACGTTGACCTTTTGTTCATTAGAGAAGCAATGTCTCTCTACTTTCTCAAAATATCTAACTATACAATGAATTACTTGACAGTTGACGCTAAACTATGATTCTTCGATTCTTGGTTTCCTCTTCTTTTGTTTCGGTTCATCAGTCTTTTCTTAGGAAAAAATGGTTTTTTTGTTTGTGTCAACTAAGAAGTGATCAAATCGAGTATCGCGTACAACTAGAGATCGACGCATATTACATAACGAATGCATGGAGATTATAGGGAGCATGTAATAAAAGAGAAAATCAGTCTTTGTTCTTACGAAAGTGAAACATGCATTATAGAACATTAGGCTTGAAGTTAAATAGAGTGAAACAGTGCTTGACGGTAAAAGTTACTATAGTTTAATAACATTCTTTAGCAATGATTTTGTCTCCCGGAGTTTAGAAATTCACACTCACACATGAGTAATGTCTACAAAAGTAGACAAATGTTTCTTAGTTGGTTGGGGGAAAACATAAGCAAAGGTAAAATAGCAGGCTGAAAGGTAAAGTCATAGTTCTGCTTTTTGCTGGCATACTTTCACACATTTGGTCACTTTCCTAATTTTACATATATACATAAAAATATCAACTAGCTAAATAAGAGGAATCTTTACCTTTTTTTTTTTTTTTGCTGAAAAATCAAGACTTTTTTCACATAGCCATTTCAGGTTATCAGAGCTAAAATATTCATTTAAATAGTTATTGCGATATACGCATTCTCACGTCTCATTATTGATTTCACATAGTATAATGTTTTGTTCAATAAATAATTGAAATAAACCCCATTTGGTATCGGATCTAAACGAAATATTCTCCCAGCAAATTGGATTATATATTTCAACGTTTTATAATGAGGAAATGAGAAGATATTTATGAAGACAATTATTAGTTGTGTTCTGTTGTATATGTGATTCGTTTACTTTTTGATTTAGAGGTAGTAGCAATCCACAGAGAGGAAATCGGAATCGGACATAAAGCCAAACAAAAGAGAGATCATATGTGAGTTTTAAAGACATAACCACGACAATGTCACTTGTTCATTAATTTATTTCCTCACTTCACTTTGTTCCCCTCTCTTGTCCTTTCGCTTACTGCACATGACATTACCTTTTCTTAAAATATTATTCATTTGCATTATGTTTCTGTGCATACCAATAAAATAGAAATTCAAAACAAAAAATAATAAAAGTAGGACAACGACGATCGATACAAAATAACAATAACTACAAGGACGTCTTATATTCTTGTTATTTAAGGCACTTACAGTTATAGTGACAAATCATGATCGAAATTGAAGTAGGAGAACTCAGACTCAAACCCTAGGATGTGTTATTCAACTGTTAGATGAATATAGCGATTTAACTATTAAACTGCATGCACTTAAATTTTTCAATGCGATTACATTATATGTTGAACTTAAATTTACAAGTATGTTTTGGAGATGGATACACTTGGAGAGAGTATACGAGCATTGGTGACTAACGTGACATGTGAATATACATATACTAAAATCCAACCTTCAATATTTTTAAAAATTGAAACAAAACAGAAACTGAAAAAAACTCCTTCTGGGTTGGTATGTCCACAAAATCCAAATATTACACAATTGCTTATTATTTTTCTTAAGAAAGCTCAAAGTTATAACTATTCAATTGTCCTTTGGAATATTCTCTTTTACATATTGGAAAAAAAAACCAAAATGGTACAAACACTTTTGAAGAAAAAACCAAAATGTGAAAACACCCTATAATAATACTCACAACATCAACCACAAAAACAAGCAATTTTTTTGAAAAACCTTCTCTCTCGCCTGAAAGGTTATGTTATTGATGTACTTCTGTACACAACGACGCCGTTACAGCGACACGAGTGGAGTTGCTGACAAGATCAGATACGGCTAATGTCACGACCAAAGACGAAAGTGGTGAACCAATTAATGGCAACATAGAATCGGTTTCTCCAGCTTATGACTCGAGTCAGATAAGCCGACCTCCATATGAACCAGCTCACGAAACCCGTCATCGATATTCCTTTTGCGTCCTGCACAAGAAACCTCCTTTAAACACAAGCTTACAAGTGAAATCCCTAAAGAAAAAATTCAGAGTCAAAATGTTGGTTACCTTGCTCTCACGTAGGTCGACTAGGGCTTTGTATCTACCGATTGTAGCCATGCTTCCAAGGTGCTTATACACAAAGGGAACTCCAAGTTCTATCTCCTTTGCGCTGTTGGCTCGTCCTCCGTTGGCTTTCCCGATCTCATTTAGTAGTTTCGATAAGTATTTGCCTTCTCTCTCAGCGACCTTAAAATGATCAGTGACATAGAAGCAAAGGTATAAGAAGAGATAAAAAAAAAGAAGGTTAAAACAGATTTATGAAAATGTTTATTTACCTGAGCAAGAGCAGGAAGGGTTGGTTTTCCGGTGGACTCCAGATATCCGCTGCAGTCACCGATAGCAAACACGTCTTGTACAGAAGGTACACGCATCCACTCGTCGATACCGATCCTATACAGATGAACATAGCAAAAAAGTCGAGAAGTGTGGAACACTTTTAGCAAAAAGAAGGGTTTTATAGAGTGATCTTGATGAACTAACCTTCCACCGGAAGCTTTTGGAAGATCAAGAGACTTAACGAATTGAGAAGGACCAACACCAGTGGACCACACTAAGAGTCCGTAAGGAACTTCTGTGCCATCGTCAAGTATTAGCTTCTGAGGCTTCACATCTTTCACAATCCCACGCACAAACCGCACTCCAGACTAAAGTAAATTCAAACCAGTAGTTATTAAGAAGAAACGCTCCATGAACGTGAGAACAAAATCTTTTCAGTTGTTCTAAATGAGCTCACCTTGTTCAATTGCTTGATGGCATAGCGTCTGAGACGATCATCGAACGACGAAAGTATATCCTTGGCCTGTAAAAATCACACGGCATAGGAAACAATCGTTTCAAGAGATGAGAAAATAAAGAGGACTCCAAAGAGAGACGCTTCTTTTAAAACAAAACCTCTATCAAAGTAACATGAATGTCGTCCTTCACATGGGCATATCGTTGACGAACATCTTTCATGATAAAGTCACTCAATTCACCGCTAAACTCTACTCCCGTTGGTCCACCTCCAACCACAACGCAATGCAACAGCCTCTGCTTCTCCTCTTTCGATATGCCTAAGTTAAAGAAATAGCGCAAAGACTGTTTATGTTCTGATTCTGATTCTGATTCTGATTCTTCAGGGGATGAATTATGTGTTACCAGGAGTATCAGAGAGCATCAGGTTCAGAAGAAGCTTCCTACGGATCTCCTGAGCATGGTGAACCTCACGGAGGAAGATGGCGTTTTCTATAACTCCCTGGATTCCAAACGTGGACGCCTCTGCACCGCAAGCTACCACGAGCTTGTCGTAAGCTATCTTGAACTTCCATGGCTTTAATGTGTTCGACCCATCAATCAGAGTCTCACAGTGAATCTATCACCAAGAACAAGACATTCAACAAACGGATTTAAAACCCACATGAGCTTCAATAAAACAAAACTGAAGAATCTCACGTTATCAGCATTAAGAAACTCCATTACTTCTCGCTTCTATCTTCTTCTACCATAGTAGCTACTCGTACTCTACAGAAACTCTCCAAATCTAGCAAATTCCTCCAAATATAGTAACAAAAGCAAAATCCCAAAAGATTTGCATCAAAAGGTATCAGCTTTTTTCAATCAGACAGTGAAACTCCAAATTCCAGTTGACTAAAACATGGAGAGATTTCAAATGATTTCACGGGTTCGTGCATCATCGGTGACCAATTTGATCAAATCTCTCGAATCGAAAACCCAATCTCAGAAATCTCAGAGCACCAAGAAAACGGAAGAGTAAAAGTGATCTCAAGTACCTCGTGAGAATCAGCATCAAGTCGAGAGCAATTAGCGAGGAAGAAATAAGAGCCGGGTTCTCGCGAAATCGCGGGTTGGATACGAGAGATCGGCTCAGCGACGGACCTGAATTCGAGAGTGCCGACGCAAGTGGAAGCAAGGAGAGGCGTGAAGACCATGTGGTTCCTAGGGGAGACGCAAACGACGTCGTAGATGCTCGTGTCGATGCCTTTCATCAATCGACAACCCGCCCAACCCGACCCGAGAACCACCACTCTCGGCTTCTCTCCTTCTCTCGTCGGCCCCAAACCTTCGTAACGGCTCCGATCCAATCCATTTGTAGCCGGAGGCTGAATCTGAGTCTCTTGCTGTTTCTGCTGCTGTTGATGCAGCGCGGTGCAGAAACGGGAGGAGAGAGTGAATGATCCGGTGTTTCTAAATCCGATCAGGGCCGCTGAGGATTTGGTCGGCGAGATTCGCGTGAGGTTTTTGATCAAGAACATCGTTCTTCTTCTTCGTAAGTTTTGAAGAATCTTATTTGGTCAAAGTGATGGATTCCGTTTTACGAATTTTTCCCTGAGCTTTGGGAGCATTTGAAAATGTCGCAGACAGAGAAAGATTTGCATCAACCGAAAGAAAAACTTTTCGACTTTTCTTCTTCAGCTACTATTTTAAAAATCAAAATTACGATTCTTAACAGGCCTTACGCCCATTGTTATAAAATTATTGTGGGCTTAAAGAAAAGAGATAGCTCATGATCATATGACCCATTCTAAAACCCACAAATCCACACTACCGAAACAATTACAAAAATTAGACGGTATTTAACCACGCACAAAAAATTAATTCTAGAAAGAATAATGAGTTGAAATCGACGTAGAACAACACACATGCAAACAAGGTGTTATGTATCTCTGAGGTTACATTTATAACTTTTTAAAATATACTTTTATTACATTATTTTTGCAAGCTTGTAAGTAAAAGATCGAAACTAATAAGAAAAAAGATTCTTATCCTCTCAACGTTTACGGCCACGCGGTGGATTGTGTCTGCCATTAGCTGAAGGCTCACCGTAGTCGTTGGTGCTCACCATCAATGACCGTTCTCTAACCACCGTTATTTCATTTTCTGTCATATGCATATAAAATTGTTTGTAATACATTACAAGTTAGAAGTTAAATTCTGTACGGGTGATAATAATTTTTTTTGTATAAGACTTGTTAACAAATCAACTAATCAAGCATCTAAACAAGTCTTACACTGACCGTTTTAAATTTGTGTTTGAGCTGTCTCGACATTTATTTATTCTCTATATTTTATCCTTCAAATTTTATTTAGTGTAGAATTATTAGTGACTTCTTTCGGTTTACAGGAAAAGAAAACGTTTTAAACTAATGTTTTGTTACAAAAAGATTATAAATTTAGCATCTCAATGTAACTTTTGTTAATAAAGTATCTGTTTGTCTAGTCAAAATTGATAAACATGTAAGACAGAGGGAACATGATTTTCAAAAGTCAACTTCTTTTGTAGAGATGTAATAAAGTTACGTAGTACTGTAATACTTTAGTTGGTTGTATAATGTGAACTTTAATAACACATTAAAATAGCAATTCTGTGATGGTGGTTAATTATATGGTCGTCTGTTTTATACAAATACTTTATATATCTGCTAAAATAATATATATAAAACACATAAATTGGGATTCGACATTTTTGTGTGTTTGTTTGTATATCGGTTTCAAAATCGAAATCTTTGCTTGGATTTTTTCACAAGATACGATGGACTAAGATCCATCCATTACAACTTGCTATTTTATGCAATTAAAAATATCTGACAAAATTGATATACTAAATAGTCGTAGTATCTGTCCTTGTTCTTTTCTTGCAAGGTCAACGCTTTTCAAGTGTGAACCAACCTATATATAATACTAACGCTTTTATCATAGTTCACTTTTAATCATCAGATATTATAGTTTATAATTTTATAAACGTACTTTCTTATTGCGTTCGTCGGTATCACAATGATGTTTTATCTTTTCAAAAGAAATATATAAGATTGGCCGTGTGAACAAGTCATCGGCGAAAGGGAAGACAAATCTCGAGAGTGGTGTGTTTCATGTGAGCTTGATTTGAATATAGAGAGAAATAATATACTAACAAGCTGGAAACAGAGTAAAGATATATACAACTTGTTTTAAGAAAATACATATATTTCAAGTACTCTTCTGGTATTTTCTGTAATAATTGCATCCTTATATGCATCGTTTCATGTGTTACTCTTTTGTTTATTATATGCAGTGCCGGTCCAACTTAAACGGTAGTCCTAAAATTAAAAAAAAAAATGTGGCTCATTTGTAATAAAATATTTGTAATTTTTTTTTCTTCTTTTTTTACAATTGAGTTTCAAAATTTAGTATATATAAACTATATATCTATTATTTTGATATATATGTGTCCTATAAAAAATTAAAAAGTATAGTGATTCTAATAAGTGGCTTAGCCCGCTTATGCTCTGAGCCGGGCTGATATATTTTCTCTTTTCAATATCAGAAAAAGAAAGAATTAAGGTTTTCTTCTTCTATTTGGTGATATTGAACAATCCCAAGACATATACAGTTTTACATGCGGATCATGTGATTGCCACCGCCCCACAAGCCAATAAATGTACTTGGAAATATATGATCCTGCTATACATATTTGATTCTGAGATCTCATCTAATATAAGCTATAAAATAGTAAGTTTAATGGAAAACACAGATTATGTAGTCAAGAAATTCTTATGAGATGTTTAACGGACACGGATTATGAAGAAGGGAACAGTCTAATAGATATGTAGTGATTGGAGATAGATCAGAGAAACTAATCGTGTTATCAATACAAAACTTGGAACTGAGGAAACAGAGAAATAAAGGTAGAACGAAAAGTACCTTGAAATGCAAGGTTGAGACGAGCAGAAGAGACGAAAGCAAATGTGAAGATGAGTAACAAACATAAGCCAATTGATGAAGGTGAATAACCCATTCTCTCTCTTTCTCTCTCTTTCTATCTCTCTCTCTATCTCTCCTCTTTTATATTTATAGACGCCACAAAATATCTCACACCGGCCCTTAGTTTCAATTTTCAAGTATTTTCTTACATTATATAAAGGATATAAGAAAAAGTATTGTGTTTTTTTTTTGTGAAAAAGTATTGTGTTTTTTTTTAAGATGATATTGTATTTACATTGGTAGGTATGACAAGATTGACGTGGGATCCACCAAACAACTAATCAAAAGTCGGGATTCTTTTTACATGAACATGAACTTGTTCAAAGAGCAACAAAAAGTTATTTGATACGTTTCAAGCAAATATTTAGTGAAATAGTTTCATTTATAAACATCCATCACTTCTCATGGTTCGTAAAACTACCATACATTTTTAGCTTTAGTTGAAATTCTTCAATTTTATTTTTTTGCAGTGTATTAATGAAATTGAAAAAGTCGAAATCGAAAAAATTGGTAAAGATTTCTGTATTCACCTCATAAGAATACTAAATTCATTGGTTTATCTACCGACCATATTTTAAAGTTTTACAATATATAACTTAAGTTAGCTAGGCAACCACCAATGACAACTTCTTTTTTCTTCTACATATGATACAATGGTCCAATAATCGAAGAACGTAATAGTAACTTGCTTAAGCTATGGAAATTGGTAGCAGTAAACCTTTTCATAGAAGAATTTTCAGAGTAAAGAGTCTAGTAAATTTTCGATAAATTAATAATATTACAAACTCAAAATTTTATTAATTTATAGAATTATCAATTTATAAAGATAACATTTCAGCTCAAATTCTTAATATTCATTAAAATTCGTTCAGAAATATCATATTAATAAATTTAAAAGATAAATTATACAATATTTATAAATTTGAAATAACAATATAATTATATTTTACTACATTACATTAATTATATATACGTAGATGTATAATTAATAATTTATTTTATTTTTGGGAGTATATATTTATTTAAGAGTTTCGAAAAATTATTATGTTATTATTTTATCGAATTTTGCTGATTTTTTAAACTAACTCAATTTAAAACTACAAAATTTATTAATCTAGAGTGATTGTTAATCTATCGAATATTAATTTATAGAAATTTTGTTATACATAAAATTCAAAAATGACTATAAAAAGTCCAAGAACAAAGCTTCTCTTATAGGCATCATGTTAAACTTATTTTAATGTCTAAGAACTCGCCTTAGCTCTGTCCTCACCTCCGGTGAAACACATGCAATACTCTTTCTTAGAAGTAAAAGATGTGGGCTTTATTCTTGCCACCACAGTGTTATCGATTCTTTCAAGGTATTGTTGCAAGACACATGACAATATCTCATATTTTGGGAAACAGAGCATTTCCTTGTATCTTGGTTGATGGTCGTACTAAAGATCATGACCTCATAAGTATAATGGCTGTGCTGAACAAATCTGATGGAATCTATGTGGGTGATGATGAAGCATTCAAAACAATGATGTCGCAATTGGAGTTCCTATACACAATCCTCCCTCTTATTCAAAAAAAACTCATAGAAGCTGGATTTTCTTTGGAAAATCCAAAACTGCATTGCGCGTCTTTGACTGTAATAACAGTTCTTATTCTTTGGTGAGAAAGTCCAATCATAGACACTATCTTGAAGATCGAGAGATTATTTCTCCCACTTATTACCTTAACGTCGTTTAAAAAAATTATCCAAAAGAAAACAAAATAAAAAGCATAAATTACTAGACGCTGGAACTTTAGATGAACATTATAATTTTAGGGGAGGCAAATCCCTTTTCATTTTCAATTTTAAATTGTCCAAAGTTTGATCGATTAATTTTGATTCGTCATCATGTTAATTACTAACTTTATTTATATCTGATATTATTAAAATATTTTAAATAAATCAAACATAGAAATTGCTTTAAATCTATTTTATTAATTTTAAATTATTGAAAAATCCTCAAAGTATATTATTTCAATTTTATTAATAGAGAAAAAAGTATAATGAATGGTAATAAAAGTTAAAAACAAATCCATCATTTTAAGATAGTGAAAATATTTAGCATCTAAGACAACAATTATTGCATTCATCAATTATCGTAATTCATACCATTACTATCTGGAGATTCAGTGAAAAGAATGTAGAATCCGGTGAAAAAGCTTCGAGAACAAAATCTTTTTGAGTTGATGAAGTTGTACAATTGAGGAAACTTTGTCAATGTTCTGATACCATGTTAGAGCATGTCACAGAAACTCTTTCAAAGGATGGTTATGGTTTTTTGGATAGATGATTAGTGGCTGTGAGTGGTGAGTGGTAGCCTAAACGGTAAGAGCTCAAGGCATTAGGATCATATGATAAAGGACGTGCAAGGAATCATGCGTGGGTTGAAAGAATGTTCTGATTTCTGAATCTACTCATGGCTAAGGCACTTATTAAGCTGAATCTTGTAATACAATTTCCGTAGGTTGAAAGAATGTTCTGATTTCTGAACCATGTTGAGGTAATCGTAAGAGAAGTAAGCTATTTGAGATTAGATTTGTTTGTAGGACCGCGAAAATCCAGATTGAAAATCACGAATATAAAAACGATTTAAATCAATAATAAACGATAATAAAAGCATAAAACGT